TCCGGTATACCGGACTGTACCCAGGGTACGTTCCGGCAGTACCCCGGGGGACATAGACCCTCTCAGCGAAAGTAGGTCGGCGTACTGGCGTGCTCCAAAATAGGACGTTCAAACCTCTCCCATAGGAGTAACAACTACATGCAATTTGAAACGGGGGTCAAATGGTTCTCGAGTTATCGTTGACCGTAGGCAGACACTGAAATGCATATAGTGAAATTGCCAAGATCTACCTAATTTGCATAATTTGCTAAAAACCTGTGTGATATGTTTTGGGGCCAGTCCTTTCACATACCAGAAATGAGCAAAATCCTTTGAACCTTAACTGATTTATGGCCATTTCCATTTTTGCCAAAAAGTGGATGTGGCTCGAATGTAGGTCGACTGGCGTGCTCCAAAATAGAACGTTGAAACCTCTCCCCTAGGAGTAACAACTATATGCAATTTGAAACATGTGGGTCAAACAGTCCGTAGCCAAATGTTGACGGACGTACGACGGACGACACCCCATGGCAATAGCTCATCTTGACGATGTCAAGGCGAGCTAAAAATTAAATGATTATTAATGGATTCGATGCAAATCTATACGGACCACTCTAGAAATGTCTAAGACGTTCAGTAGGGGTAAATTTTGGTGTTGAATGTCATGGGCACATTGGATTTGACCTCAGAGGTCATCTAAGCCAAAAAATGGGAAAAATATACTGGCCCTTGCAGCAGCATTAAATAAACGCACCCCTGCAGCAACACTAAATAAACAGGCCCCTGCAGCAGCATTAAATAAACGGGATTCACTTTGCACTGACGTGAGTTACTATACATGCATTAATGTTACATGCGCCATGTCATTGTCGTCACAGCATTCACCTTGCACTGGCTTGATACAGAGTGTAACTGTGTGCAAGACTATTTTCGATAGGATGGATAGATAGATAGATAGACAGACAGACAGACAGCCAGGCAGATAGATAGATTTTTGGGTATTGGTCGCCAACAGAGCGCTTTAATTTCCCGGGCAACGCCGGGTGTCCTGCTAGGTAATTTAAAACTATTTACCTTTAACATCATTGTTTGTCCTGATCGTCAGGTTGTAGATGTTCCAATTGACTGGTTTCCACAACAGATTTCCTAGCCAGCTTCCACTGATATAGTTTATCAGTTATTTCAGCTGAGGCGATGCTGCCCTTGTCTCAAGTTGGTGAAATGCTGGCAGGATGTCAGCAGCCGGAAGAAATGGCAATGCCATTAGACTTCTTATGTAGCGGAACTCCTGTCCACGGAGGCTATACGTGGTCTTCAGTCCCAGCTCCTTAGTCTTGCGCCACACCGCCTGGCTGAAGTGGAAGGCGCATCCTTTGATGTTTGTGTCAGGAAATTCCTGACAGATCGCTTTCCAGGCACCTGTTAAAAAGTAGTGAAACACAGTGTGAACCACTCGAGCACATTTCATGTAAAACAGTAAACATGCACACAATTTTTATATTAAAATTTTAATTAAATTGAAAATTTGTACAAGAACTTGAGATTAAGATAACTATATGTATAAGTTTAGAATGTACTGGCCTCGGGTTATGAAAACGGAGATAGGCACCGCCCTATGCGCCACATAGGTGCGGGAAGGATTAACTTAGAATGTGCACAGCAATACCTCGCACTATGCAAGAAATGTTTTCCAGAAAAACCACTCGTAATGTGAAAACGCGTAATGCAAAACCCGTTAGTCAACTGACTCCCATTATATAATTGGATATGTGTTTCTGGAAAAAACTATTTGGATAAAAAAAAGTACATTGAACGGGCAATTATGAATGTAACTTGTAAGTAAACATTTTAAATGCATGCCTGGTATTATATTAATTTTATATTAAATGTATTATTTTATTATATAACACCGTAACATAGTGATATTGTAAGGTAAAAGGGACTCAGAATTATAATTACGCTGAGGGAGAATAACGTCAGCAATAGAACATTCTTGTGTAACCATGACAGTAAGCTGGAGGCAAAAAAAGACGTGTCTTGTAAATTTTGCCTCATTGGTGGGCAGATCTGTTTCTGTTGACAACGAGCCAATTTTTCTGGCCCGTTTGAATTTTGGCCTATAAATTTATATTATATAAATGTTATTACCTTTCTAAAAGTCCATCACAAATCCCTGAACCTGTGGGTCGGGAGTGCATTGTTTCAACTTCTGAAACACCTGTAATAAATGACATCGTCATACTTACTTTTGATATATCCAATATAATACAAATGCATTAAATAGCTAACAGCTGTAGTTCCAGTCTTCTTGATTTATGCTATTACTGACAATGTGGAATATTGCCTTTTCATTGGTAATTTCATTAATCCGTCTGATTATATATATATATATATCCGTAGATATATATATATATATATATTCAAGAGCGTATTAAGAAGGCCGATTATTGCCGACAATCACGCACGTGAACGTGCACAACACACGAACGCACGCACGCAGCCACGCAGTATACGTGCACACGCACGCACGCACGCCACCGACGTGTACGTCACAGCGCGACGCACCACGCCACGCACGAACTGTTACGTGACACACGCACGCACGCCGCATGTACGTGCAACGCACGCACCAGTGTACTGCACACGCACGCACGCCACGCAATTGTGACGTACACAGCACTGCACGCGACGCACGAACAAACGTGTACCTGCACACGCGCGCACACGTCTACCGTGCACATGCACACGCGCGCCACACGCACGCACGCACGCACGCACGCACGTTACGTGCCCACACCGAGACGCACGCACGCATGCACGCACTGTACGTTGCACCACGCACGCACGACGTGAGTGACACTATGCAGCCACGCATGCACGCCACGAACGCATGTACTTGCACACGCACGCCACGCCACGAAGCGAACGTGTACCTGCACAAGCGCGCGCACGCACGCACGCATGCAGAACAGTTACTGCACACGCACGCACTCACGCCACCGTAATGCACACGCACGCATCCACGACTATACGTGCACACGCACAACGCACGCACGTATACGTTGCACACGCACGCACAACACGCACGCACGTCACGCACGCACGCACGCACACACACACGCACGCACGTTTTACATACACACGCACGCACGCATGCACTATAATAAATCGAATAAGCGCTATCGCGGTGTTGTGGTGCTGTAAGACGCTACATAATCGTTAACTCGAGTTAACGCTTAACTCGAGTTAAGTTTGTTGTAAGCGAGGCTATATTATAATTATATACAGGTGTCAAATAAGAGATGGCCGATGGTCCGGGACCATCAAAATAATGCAGGAGGACATCATATTTTGGTCCAGTACCGGGGGGAAGTGATGGTCCTTGCACGCCGCGATGGATACTGCTAGAGAACAATTTGAAATTAGTGTGGAGGACCATCTAGAATTTCAAAACTAGATGGTTCGTGTGCGACCATCTCTTTTTTCTCCTATTTCTACCCGCTTGATATATATATAGATATATATATATATATATATATGATCTGTCATATATTTTATTTTCGATACTTCTCAAGGCTTTTAAAAATGTTATAATCTTCTATGTCTTGACAAGCTATAGGCTACAATTTTGCTAAACATCGTTGTTTCGGATGCGCGTGTCCTCATCCCGATCAAGATACCTCATTCCAAGTTAAAAAACAGCAGGTTTATCGCTCTAGTGTCACTTGAGCACTATAGTTTTACACGACGTAGAACTCTCAGACACTAGGACGAAACAAAAACCTTTAGGGTTTAGTTCAAAAATTTTAGGTATCAATTTCTAAATTTTACGAAAGACATTGCCTTTTATTCTCACACAATGCGCATTTTGCAGAAAATCGACTCGTTATTTAACCGCATATCGCAACGAGCCAGCGATAAGGTGTATACTTATATAGTAACGTACACATCCGAAAAGCCGAAACAAGTGGCAAATCGTTTAGATTCACGTTGAGCAAACACACATTATCTCGCACACCACTACGATGCCCCGCCGTCTGTCCCATCCAGCAATGTTCTAGAGGAAATCAGATATTTGCCCTCGACCCACCTTGTTCACCTCTGCCATGCGCTTACTTCGGGTACCAGAGTTATATCAGTATATATACACACTGCCTGAAAAGCCAATTGACTGACGGCTGCGGCGCTGTTAACATTATATGTGGTATGCCGTTTGTGCCGTATATATATTATATAGGTGCCGAAATAACGGGAGTCCGAGTCAAATACTTCTTATTTACTGTCGTCTCTGATTTGACATAATGCAGGATTCCGTGTGTACTCCCTGAACATTCTCTGCCATTACTAAGCTAGTTCTTCCCGGAGCACTGTACCGGACCTCGCGGATTACTGTATTGCTTCAGATAAATGTTCCAAAGAAATTTGGCAGACGGCACTGCATGAATCTTAAAAAAAAGCAATCGCGTTATTGTTAAATCTTTAATTTCAAAGCCTGACGACGCCGGACTCGGACCCCTGCTTTTGAGGTAGGAGGCGTTGTGTCAAAAGCTAATTCACCCCTGCGCCAATGATTGCGCAAACGGGACGCGTCTGTGGAGGCAGGCGTGTCCACTGTGGTGTGTGAGAGAGAGAAGAGGAGAGAGAGGAGATTATAAAGCTAGAGTGTGTGTGCTGTGTGAGAGAGAGAGAGAGAGAAGAAGAAAAGAGAAAAGCTAGAGAGTAGAGGGGTGTGTGTGTGAGATTCAGGAGAGAGAAGCGACAGAGAGAGACGAAGAGCGGGGACGGCGAGCGAGAAAGAGAGGGAGAGTGTGTCCCGTTTGCGCAATCATGCGTGTACGAGTCGCTGCGCATCACGTGTGTGAGTGGTGTGCCGGCATGTATAGCCTGGAGCTAGGCAACCGCCAGGACGCTAGCCACGCGTTTTTATTTTTATTAGACGTTCCAAGTGCCTGTGGTGGTGTGCGAGGTGTGCTCTGGACTTTGGTGTGCAGCATAGGCATGTTGACGCATTTACTAGTAATTATAAGCAACAATAGCGAAAATAGCCATACTAGTAACTAGAGTACTGTGTTGACTAGACGTCCGCAATAGGGTGCAGATGTGGGTCGGTGTGTGTATCAGGGTACTACAGATATGTACCCGAGAGTTTTAGCGTTGGTTTAATTACGTTTAGTATTTTATATGAGGGTATTTAGGTAGGTTAGGTAGGTAGGATACACTTCTGAGGTAGCAAGTCAGGTACACTCCCGGGTAGCTGTTAGTAACATATACTGTACTCGGGTACATATCTGTAGTACCTGATACGACAACGACACACTTGATTGAGCTTGTCAGTGTAGTGCTCGTAGGTCTAGCCCCTGAACCTCGTATTGAAACTGGCTCGTTTAGCTATTCGACAACCCTGACTTAACCCTACCCTATATATATATTATTAATATATAATTTTAGTATATATAGTATGATATATATATAAGTCAGAATAGCTAAACGAGCCAGGTCAAACAGAGGTCAGGGGAACATAGACCTTATCTGCGTAAGTAGTACTCATAGAAATAGATAGATAACCTGTCGATGGTAGTAGCCTACCTATAGTAGTAGTAGTACTAGCAGTAGCAGTCCTAGTAAGATAATATAGGAATATTATTATCTTACTCCTGGTACTAGTGCTGATAGGGTCTATGTCCCCCAGGGTACTGCCAAAACGTACCCTGGGTACGGTCCGGTATATTACCGGAACGTACCCTGGTAACTATCTAGTGAATGAGTTAGGGGTAGGTTATAGGTAGGTTAGGTTAGTGTTGGATTATTAGGGTTAGGTTAGGGAGTAGGCGTAGGCGACTCCCGCTAGAGCTCGTTAGTGGAGTAGGCGAGGTACAGTCGGCATATTAGATAGTAGGTATTTAGTACCAGGGACGTTCCGGTATACCAGCCGTACCCAGGTACGTTCCGGCAGTACCTGGGGGACATAGATGATAGACCCTATCAGCGGTACTACTACTACTAACTACTACTATAGCTCCAAGAAACGTATTGCTATAGTTAGAAATACCGTATATAGACATCGTCGCACAGCTGGCGGGCTACTAGAACTACTAGTGCTCATAGGGTCTATGTCCCCCAGGGTACTGCCGGAACGTACCCTGGTACGGCGGTATACCGCGGAACGTACCGCTGGTCACTATTTGATATGGTTAGGGTTAGGATTAGGTTAGGTTAGGGTGCGGGTTGGGGTAGGGTTAGGGAGTAGGCGGTAGGCGACTCCCTAGACTCGTTAGTAGGAGTGGCGAGGTACGGTCCGGCATATTAGATAGTGCCAGGTAACGTTCCGGTATACCCACCGTACCCAGGGTACGTTCCGCAGTACCCGGGGACATAGACCTCTCAGCAGTACTACTAGCTAGCTAGTAGTAGTACTAGTAGTAGTACTAGTGTCAAGGGTCGTTGGTCGTATCAGGTACTACAGATATGTACCGAAGGTACATATATTGTAATACACAAAAGTGTACCAGACTGTACTTTACAGAGCTGT